GTGACTATGTATCTGGCTTTAAAGCCCCTAGTCTACCTTCAGACAGACTATTTATGTAGGCTGCTTTATTTATCTTATGTTTTAGTCACCCTGTACCCATTATAGGTGCAGGGTGTGTGTAATGTAATTGTTTATAGTGTGTGTGTGTATGTACTGTGTAATGTATTGCCTGCTCTCTTGCATTGCTGAGGTTTGCTACCAACTAGGTGGGTTTGGCTATGGAGCTTGTCTAGTGCCCTCTGTTGGTAGCAACAGCAATATGCACTACCTGAATTGCAAGACTGGTTCATTTGCATATTCGGGTAGATTTGCATATTGCTAATTCTGCAGGCGGGTGAGATATTTACTGTTAAATATTGTCTCCCCCCACCCCTTTAAAAATGTGCCATTGTGTTGTGATAAGTCACTGTGTATTGCTTGATATGGTTTGACTGTTTGTGATTTTATTGAGGTTTCACAACAATGTTATTGTGGTGACCCTATTGGCTGGTCCCAAGGGAAATAAAGGTTTTGACAGTTCTTCTTGATCCTTCTAAACGTAGTCTTGTCTCGTTATTGGAGGGAGCTGTTATAATCACACTGGGGATTGCTATGCTCTGCATGCTCCCCTGAGCTTGAGTCACTTAGCTCTTTTAAGAGCTTGTTCCTGACACGCTCTCCTTGGAGGAGGGGTCTTCACCACACAGTCCTGGAGGACAGAAGCTGATCCAGGGTGGAAGGAAGACAGCGAGACTCCAGTCAAGATACGGTGGTTGCGGAGTCTGCGGTGGTTGTGGTGTCTGCTGCAGTGCTTGGGAGTCCTCAGGAAGCGCTAGGAGCATCCATCAACGGAGGGTACTCAGTCGGAGTACAAGGAGCTCCGTTACAGGCATATTCTATAAACATATAGAAGACCCTACTGCCAATCCCATCACAGATGAGGATTGCAAAGATAATGAAGATTTACGAATCTTGATGAGATATAAAGTCCAATTTAGTATCATGGATGGGTTACTGCTCAGAACTTCTAAACATGGTATACAACAATGGGTAGTCCCAACTGTATACAGAGGGTTAATGCTCCAACACGCACATGATGCACCTACATCTGGGCATCGTGGTGATAAGATCACATATGAAATATTGCGTGATTATGCATATTGGCCACACATGTTAAGGGATGTTAAGACATACTGTCAGGGATGCTTGATTTGTCTGAAATATCAACCCCATGGTCCAACCCATCGTGCACCACTTCAGAAGAGGAGGGTGTCATTACCCTGGTCTCATATTCAAATTGACTTTATAGGTCCTGTAACAAGATCTTCAAGAGGTAACAAATATATATTAACCGTTACATGTATGTACACAAAGTGGATAGAGTGTTTGCCTTGTAAAGAGAACACGAGTACTGTGTGCGCCACTTTGTTGATTAACCATGTCTTTTCCAGGTTTGGTCTGCCTCAAAGAATTGAGTCAGACAGAGGTAGTCACTTTACCAGCGAAGTAATGGCTAAGATGTGGAAAATTCTAGCGGGGGGTAGAGCGATATAACCAGTCTATCGTTAATATTCTGAAGAAGTATGTTAAGGAGTCTGGTAAAGACTGGGACATTAAATTGCCCCTAGTTTTAATGGCGATTAGAGCTACACCTAGCACTGCTACCAAATTGTCACCTTTTAAACTGATGTCAGGAAGAAAGATGGTTTTACCACAGCATTTACTATATCGTACTTCGGATCAAAACTTGATCAATGCTGCCACTACGCATCAGTACATCAAAGATTTGCGCAAGCATTTACAGCATGCGTTTTCTTTTGCCCAAAAGAATCTAGAAAAAGCAGCGACAGGGGTTAAGACCTATTACGATCAAAAACCACGAAAAAGGGATATGAGATAACAGATCAAGTCTATTTTTATAACTTTGTGCGAAATCAAGTCAAGGAAAATAAATTTTTACCTTCTTGGAAAGGGCCATATGTCATCATTGACAAAATTTCCCCAGTAGCGTACAAGATAAAAATTCCTAAGGATGGTGATTTTATTGAAAAGTGGGTTCACATTAACCAGTTACGTGCTTGTCATCCTAAATCTCAATTAAGGATTATAGGTGCGGATTCGGATGCAGAAGGGTTAACGACTAACCTGGATGAATGCTTGATTCACGTGGTATAGTATGATGTGAAATGTCGTGATGTGCCATGATCTCATGTACGTTCATGTCATTAACCATTTCCTTGCCATCCAATAACTAAATTTTTAAGCAGGTTACTAGCTTGTTTAACTGCTATAGGCATATTGCTGAGGAGTCAGTAATAAATGTAGTGAGGGATGAAGTTATGAAAATAGAATTGAGAGAATATATATGTTGATGAATCATAATAATGTGTTGTCCTAGGCCAAGTGATGACACACTGTTATAAGTTTGTATGCTTAACAAACCTTGAATCATTAGTAGATAAGTCTGAAACGAGTTCCTGATCCGTGACTGTCGAAAGATGTCCAAGAAGGATGTGGCATGTTTCTGGATCGTACTGCTCCTGTGCCAAGAGCTACGGACCGACCCGATCGCAGAGATGGGATCATCCTCCGGTATCCTGATTCAAGAGACCTCAGGGTTCATCTTGACAGAGAAGAGGATCATGACCCGACGTGTGTTCGTCAGCTTGGACCCCAAGATTTCCATCGAGAAGGCATACAACATTTCATCGATGCAGCTTCCTGAGTTACAGACTTGGTATCAGATGCACCTCCAAAGAGCACAGGACCATGTGCAAAACATCTTGGAACAAGCCCGGAAACCATTTGTATCCAGTACTATTTTGATGAGCAACCGACCCAAAAGGTTCCTCACCGCTATAATTGTTGCATTAGTTTGTGCCACTGTCGGTGCAGTTGTCGCAACTGGAATGTCTGCAACCAACTCTATTACTGTCCAAAAGCTGGATATGGAAATATATGCGCTAAAGCAACACATTAACGATATTCATCAGGTGATAAAACAGCAAAGAACACTTCTCCAAGATGTGTTAACTATTGTGCAAGACACAGTTGTTACAACAAATTTGCATTCGGAGTTAATTGCCAAATCCACTGAGTTGCACCAAAGTCATGACTTATTTAAGCGTGAACTTCTATTTCTGCATGACCCAATATTGTTCCACACACTTGCTTTTCTTGACGAAGTGCAAACTGGAATGATCGAATTGGCAGGGGGACGCATACCTCTGTATTTTGTATCCAAGGATATTGTTCATGCGATGCTTACCAATGTGGATAGAGAGACAATTGAGCCTATGCAATTAAATCTGGCCTTTGAGACGGGGATCGCTATACCTCTCTTAATTGATCCAGAACGTATGGAGATTTGCTTTTTTATTAGCCATACCATATGTAACTCCCAAAAACATTTTTCAAATGAAAATAATGTACTATGTTAATAATAATGTTATGGTTGATTGTACTAAGTGTAAAGTTCAAAACTCTTACAGGTACAAATATATACAAAAATGTTCATTCCACGCACGGGCCTATGTTAGAAATGATGGGATTGCACAATATGTCTGGTAACTTCTATAGTGCTTATTCATAAGCTAAATTAATTTTTGGCTATGAAATGCACTAAAGGGGGGTTATGTCAGGGTATTTATATCGGCAGACATCTTGTGCTATGATAGAAATTAAAAGTGTATATGCTGAGTCACTTTTGAACAGAGCAGACTCCATTTTGTTATTTTCAAGCTAACAAAAGACACAAGATTTCTATCTGTAAAACTAACCACTTTCCCAGAGCTAAAGGAATGCATAGTATATACAAACTAAGTGATAAGGAGAACGGGGGTTGGACAGACTGTCTAAAATGCTAATGGAATATAATCAATTCTAAACCCAGACATTTGTAACAGAGAAGATTACATAATTTAATTTTACTTTTTATATTGTATAACCTCCCATTGTAGTTTAAGGTGAAACTTAGTTTACGAACTGTCATATTAGAAATTATAGCAGGAATTGCGGACACTAATAATGAGAAAATACCCAAAGTTAAGGGTGTGTGGAGAGAAAAACAAAAGTCCAGCTCCCACAGCACACTCAAATAGGGGTGTGCCAACTGAGGGAATGTATAAACTCCCCTGGTGTTCTTAGAGTAGATAGAAATAGAAATAAATATAAAAATAAAAAATGCTTTATTGAAAAACTATATACAAGTTAAATAAAATACATGGGGAGATGGCTCACGGTCCGTGAGTCTATATAAGTGCAATTGGAGGCCGCCTGGTAGGTATGGCAAAGGGGTAGCTGTATGGCAATACTGTAAATAGATAGCTGCTTAGAAATATGTATACTAAAAAATAACATGTCATAATAAAGTATCCATGGTGTAACATATATCAAGGAGCCCTTAAGTAAATCAGGATGTCTGCATAGAATGTGCTCAAACTGCTATTATGGGAATAACACCGAATAAATAAGATGTAACTCCCTGAAGTTTGTTGCAGGTTATAAGTCTATTAGATAGATGGTAAATCAGTCGAGCAAAAAGATGCTGACTCCACTAGTGAGATAGCCTGGGATCAAAGGTATATACATACACAAATAGAGAGAAGTAGATTTGAAAAGATTCCTCCTATGTATAGAGATACCCAGGTAACTCAATTCCTCTAGAGGATAGTCAGCCCCACACTTCTAGAGTGGTATCATGTCTGCAGCTTCAAAGTAAATAGCAACATAGAGAGGTAGATTGTTAGAATGTTGTCAAAACTCTATATACCTTAACTTTGTTGCTTGAAAACAATACAATGTTGCAGTAAAGATGAACTGATTGCCTAATGTTACAGGATTACCCCTGCCTCCTACGTGAACAGGAACAGCATCTCACAGCCGAAAAGCACATAACCCCCAGATAACCAGCCCCATGTAGTAAAACAAACGAAAAAATCTATATATACACAGTGAAAAAGAGAAGTTCTAACCCAAAACCTAAAAAATAATAATAAATAGAAATAAAGGTGCTAAATATATATATGGATCTAACTATATGAAGCAGTGGCTCAAATAATTAGAGAAGAGAGGTCAGCCTAGATCTAGAAATCGAGCGTAAAGGACAGGATGAAAACGTGACTCACTAGACTAAACTCCTAAGTAGATCAGACTAGCTAGCTATATTAGTAATAAGCTTCCGGCTCAAGTTAGAATGAAAAGTCAAATATAGTAAGAAAGTCAACCGAAAAACTAACTAGGCTGGAACTTCAAGCTAACTAGGATCTAGAATCAAGATCGACGCGCGTTTCGGCGCTATGTGGCGCCTTTTTCAAGAGTGACGAGGGAAACCCCTCGCCACCAAGGTTTATAAAGGGCTAGTGCCCGCCCCTCCCGTGACGTCATGGCCAAACACATGAGGCCGCGTCTACTCTAAGAACACCAGGGGAGTTTATACATTCCCTCAGTGGGCACACCCCTATTTGAGTGTGCTGTGGGAGCTGGACTTTTGTTTTTCTCTCCACACCCTTAACTTTGGGTATTTTCTCATTATCCTTTCTGTTGGGTTATCCCCTTTCCTTGCTGCCCATTTAGTCCTCATTTTTGGCTCCAGGAGTGGCTTGTTTCCAACCCTGTAGCCATTCCCCTTTTTTCCCTCATCAATTTTTGTATGGTTTCAATACCAGGACTATTTAGACTTTAAGACCTTATCACTATTAATATTTATCAATATATCTTATTGCAAGTAACACACACTAATAATGGCAGGTTTTCTATCCAATAAACCAGACAGCAACCTATGGTGTATTGACTCGGATAACGTATTTTCGGTTGAACAACTAGACTATTCTAATTCTACCTCTGACATTAATCAAACATTTAACAACTTACAAAATCTATACCAGAAGCAAATTAAATCTAGCTGGGAGATATCGTCTCTTGAAAATTATATTAAGAAGGAGATGATTCCACGGGGCCTGAGGGTTCGCAACGTACCATCTTCTTACACAGATAATACTGAATTAATGCACGAATGGGAATCGGCAGCTGGAACATGTTCTAAGCGGTTTATGGAGATTTTAATAAAATTTGAGAAAGTAAAAATCTCTGAAGTTAACCTTAACCTTGAACAGGAGATTGCAAGTGCACAACAATATCAATCTAATCCAGAATTCACCCACTTTGAAACTAGATTAAAAACTAAAGGGGCGGAATGTTTTACCTACATATTTCTTGTTACATTCACATGTAAGTAGATATACAATCCCTGATGTATTACAGTTGAAAAAAGAGGTTACAGTAAAAACCTCTTTCTCCATACTATCTTTGACTGTTTTGGAGTCTTTTTTCATAAATTTGCATGAAATGCATCTCCCACATCTATAAGTACCAGACAGACCGGTCTGGAGCCATGTTGTAGATACTGGGGTTTCGGTTTTGAAATGGCTTGGAGCTAGAAGATCTCGTAAATTTTTGCCTCTCCGAGCTGTAATGGAGACATTGGAGGCCAGTACTCCTTGAAGGTGCTGATCATTGGTTAGCAAGGGCCAGAAACGTCTGAGGGAGCTTTTTATATTTTCCCATCCTGCATCATAGGTGGCAATCAGATGTATGTTATTCTTGGGGGTCTCTAGAGATTTAGGGGTATCCCCGCTCAGTAAAATGTTACGGTCGGAATCTAGTACTCTTTGGTATGCACGTTTCAGGCACCTGTTGGGATAGCCTTTGGCTTTAAAAAAACCTCTTAGTTCTTTTGCCTTAATCTTGAATTCATCAATGGTACTGCAGTTACGTCGGATCCTGAGGTATTGGCCCGTCGGGATACCCATTTTGAGTGGTATTGGATGGAAGCTGTCCCATCTCAGGAGGTTATTAGTTGCCGAGGGTTTTCGATAGAGGGTGGTATGTATTTTATTCTCAGTTGTTATAGAGATCGTCAAGTCCAAAAAATTCAGACTTTTATCCCCAAATTCACTCGTAAATCTGAGGTTTTCATCATTAATGTTGAGGATACAAACAAACTCATTAAATTCTTGTAGATCCCCTAGCCACACTATAATCACGTCATCGATGTAGCAACGCCAAAGAAAAATCAGGGGGAGATAATGAGAGATTTCTGGATGTTGAAATAAATGTTCCTCCCACCAACCCAAATGAAGGTTGGCATACGATGGGGCACAAGCTGTCCCCATCGCAGTCCCCCTGATTTGGTGATAATACTTGGTTTTGAATGTAAAGTAGTTGTGTGACAGAATAAATTCAAGAAGCTCCAAACAGAAAATAGTATGTGCTGTGGCCGCCGTGCCTCGTTGTTCCAAAAAATAACGTATATGACGGATGCCATTAGAATGAGGAATAGATGAATAGAGGGCTTCGATATCCAAGCTACATAATTTAGCAGAAGGGGGTGTGACGAGACCAATCTCGCCACATTGTATTGGAGAAGCCTGGTTGCCCGCCTGCTGCCCCTGGACTATGGCCCCCTTTTAAAAGACATCTTTTTTTACCTGCAGAAAAGCTTAATTCGTGCTTTTCTGCCTGGGGTTCGGTAGATTTGTTTGAATGTGTTATACCCCAGATAGGAGATGGCGATTAAACTGTATTCGTGTGGTCTGAGCGCCATTCGCTTAATAATGTGCGCTCGGACCTGAGCTATCTGGGGATATGTTACATGTCTGTGTTTTATGTAATAAATGTGACTTTATGTATTTTAAAGTGTTTTGTGTCTTTTTGCAACCATGTGCTTAATGGAGTCTTGTGTCTGTCCTGGGAGATAATTGAATTACTTATCTCCAGGATAGAAGACTCTGAAACTGGTTTGGGCCAGAAAGCCATGCTTCATTTAGTCACAAAGGACTTTTTACTAACTTTTGAACCCCTTGTCTGATTTGTGCCATTTTTGAATATGTTGTTCCCCTGAATGGATTGATTGTGAATATGTAATTTTATGTGAATGTGATGTATGGTTTTAGAGTTATGAAAGTTGGGTAGAAAGTATGTTTTAACTGTATGTGTAATTGAGTTTCCTCTCAGGATAAGGGGAGGGAATATGTGGGATGTAACTGTGATGTGATTGGTTGTTTTATACCTCCCTGTGGGCGGTCCTGTATTTGCAAGACTGTAATAAAAACCAGGCTGGGTGTGCCAGCACCTCAGACCACTGCTTGACCCTCAACACGGAGCCTTGTCTCGTTCTTGGGGGGATTCACTGTATGCTGTTAGAGACTGATTGCCAGGAGTGTAAGCTGTTCGTCTGCTTTTCCTGTTCGTCTGCTAGCAGCTATTTGGGAGGTTCCAGTTCGGGAGTTGGAGTGCTATTTTGTATCCAGTTCGTGAGTTTTGGTGTTCTGCAGTAGCTGTGCCTGGATCTCTGGAAAGGGGGCCGATCGCCTAAACGGTTTTTACCCCTTGTGTGCAAAACGGTCCGTTACAGGGGGTACTTCTAGATCTACTAACAGGGCAAGAGTCTGTTTAGTATCCTGAAGGTATGAAGGAAGTTTTTCAACGAATGGTCGTAAGATTTTATCAATGTATATACTACCATTTTGTGTCAGATTTTCAATGCCAGAAACGATAGGGCGACCAGGGGGTAGAGTCATACTTTTGTGTACTTTGGGCAGGCAGTAGAAGGTCGCTATCCTGGGATGGCAGTTGAGGATGAATGCGTATTCATCCCCTGATAGCAGCCCTCCACTGCGGCCCTTGTCCAATATTTCCTTATACTTCTTGAGAAAATCGTTAGTAGGATCAGATTTCAGGATTTTATATGTATTCTCGTCTTCCAATACTTTTAGGACCATTGTAACATAGTCTGTGACATCCATCATGACTATATTCCCGCCTTTGTCCGCGGGTTTCATGATGATCTCTGTATTATCTCTCAGGGACTTAAGTGCCCTTTGTTCCCTACTTGACAAATTCATATTTGGGTGGAAATCAAGAGATCTAGTGTCTAATTTATCAATTTCATTTTTCATTGTTTCTAAGAAAAGATCAATATTACGATAATTACTTTTTAATTTTAGATCAGTATATTTAGAATGATTAGATTCATTGCTTTCTTCCCATAAGTCCATGAGGGTCATAAGACATTCATATTCTCTGTTGGACATGCCATGGGATTTAGCTTTCTTTTCTTTATTGATCTCATGGAATTTATGTAGAGCAAGTTTGCGGGCAAATAGATGGAGGTCTTTTACCCACATGAATTTATTTAGGGGGGGTACAGGTATGAAGGAGAGCCCTTTCTCTAAAAGTGAGAGATGGTCTTTGTTCAAGATCTGTTTTGAGAGGTTAATGACTCTTCGGTCCGTTGCCGAACAGTTTTCTTGAGTCAGAATCTTCTCCTTCCGGGTCTCCTGCCTCTGTTTCCCTCCCTGTCTCGTGTGGGATATCTGTTTTTTCGGGTTTGCATACCCTCCATGTGGCCCATCTCTAAAAAAATTCACCCCTTTTTTGAGTATTCCTTTAGGATTGGTGTATGTAGGGATTGATGGAGTCTGTGGCTGTTGCTCGGTTTGTGATCCGCCTGAAGTGTCATTATCTGTATCTGAGGACTCATATTCTGATGTTAAGTAGTTATCAGAGTTGGTCCTAACTCTACGGTTGAAGTGTTGATAAACCCTATTTGTTTGATAGTCCCTTGAGTCTCGCACAAACTTTTGATGTTTACGAATCTTGATATTGTTTTGGAATTTGTCTAGGTTAGTTTTTAATCTAGTTTCAAAGTGGGTGAATTCTGGATTAGATTGATATTGTTGTGCACTTGCAATCTCCTGTTCAAGGTTAAGGTTAACTTCAGAGATTTTTACTTTCTCAAATTTTATTAAAATCTCCATAAACCGCTTAGAACATGTTCCAGCTGCCGATTCCCATTCGTGCATTAATTCAGTATTATCTGTGTAAGAAGATGGTACGTTGCGAACCCTCAGGCCCCGTGGA